GTGCTCAAACAAAGGTATGTCAATTATTTAATTAAGATACCAACAAACAAAACCACTGAAACAATACCAACAGACAATACCAACAATACCAACAAACAAAACCAGTGAAATTCTTGATCTCTTATTTTGCCTTCATCTTATCTAACATATCGATATATATTATCCAAAACACCATTGTTTAAGAACAACAGGATAAGGCATGGGACTAAGGTTTGAAAGAAACATATATCTTTACTTTGAGTAAGTTTAAATCACCAAGCCAAAAGTAGATTTATGCTGTTTTCCTGCCTTTTTATTGAAAGTGGTTCTCTTCTTGTGCTAAGTGAGAAATCACATGATTATGACTGTGTTTTTCTTTTTTCCCCTCCCCTCCCCCGACTTTTGAAATGCTCACTCTAACTGGGTACTGGGATAATTAGCAGGAAGGGAACTAATGTTTCTATTTACAGTCATTTGAGAGAAAGGTATTACAACAAAGTTAGCAGGCACACAATGGGGAACATGCAATTTGAAGGCACTGGCATCCCTGACCACACTACATTAAGAGCCCTATGTATTTCCCCATTCTGTGCCTGCTTACTCTTAGATAATTCCTTCATCTCTAATCTCTCCCTCTCCTTGCAGAGTGAAAAGAATGGAGAGGAAAGGATTACAAGAGAGTAAGCAGGTGCACAATGAAGAATACATTGGACTGTTTGCATAGTGTACTCACAGCTCCTAGCTCCAAGTGTAATCAGGATTGCTGGCACCACTGCATTCCTTTCTATGTATATCCCGCATTGTGTGATGGCTTACTCTATTGTAATCCCTTCCTCTATCACAGGGGTGTCAAACTGCCAGCCCACAGGCCAGATGCGTCATGCCAAAGCCACACCCACCCCATTGCCAGCAATGGAAAAAAAGTCACGATACGTCACAACACATCATGTGACGTTGCAAGTTTGATACCCCTGCTCTACCATCTCTCTGGTCTGCATTGGGGGAAGAAAAACAACAAGTCAGGAACAGGACAATATGTACTGACTCTAATGCTGATCATATGATTGAAGATGCTGTGAAGGTTGTAAATGTGGACACAGGTTATAAAGTTATTTTTTCAGCATTGTTGTAACTTTGAACAATCATTGGACAAAGCAGTCAGTAACTATCTGTATAATGTAAAGTGAATTAAAAGAAGACAAATAATAAAGAGAAAACACACCTTTTCTGCTCTGTATGTTAACTACAGGTAACAGAATAAATGAAAACAAAAAGATATTGCCAAGTATAGCAGAAAGATGTCATAAAAAGGAGTAAAAACTCAAATTAGAAATATCCATCTTCAATATTTTTAAGATTAGTCCAGCATGATGAAGACCCTACTCTAAGTGAAATGATCTGGATGTCACTGAAGCCTTGTCTAGGCATTTGATATCTAAGCTGCAGAAATCCACTACGAGATAGCAACAACAAATTAAGGTCTCCTGTTCCTTTGCTGGCATAGAACCATAAAGTTGGAAGGGACCTAAGAGGTCATCAAGTCTAACACCCTGCTATTGCAGGTTTCATTGCACCACTGCAGATAGTGAAATATCCAGCCTCTTTTTTAAAATCTCTATAAAGGAGAAGAAACTATTCTGTGTGGTAACTTATTCTACTGGCTGACAGCTCTTACTGACAAAATGTTCTTCCTAATGTCTAATCTGTATTTACATTCTTGACATTTCATGTTCTTAATTCTACTCTTACAATCTGAAACAAGTCAGAGCAAGTTCAAACCCTGTACAATGGGACAGCCCTTCAGGTATTTGAAAATAGCTCTCATGTTCTCTCTCAACTTCTCTTCAGCAAGCTGAACATAACTCGGTTTTTAAGTCTTCCTCATAGGATTTGTTTCCAGACCTTTAATAATCTTGGTAGTCTTTTTCTGGCTATCAACCACCATGATTTAATAATCATCTGGATTTCTGCAGCCAGATAAGGCAGCTTTATCTATTTTCTTTCTTGCCAGAAACAATTGCCTGTTCAAGCAAAGTGCTCAAGTATGAACACTTGTCGATACCACTTCTCCCCATAGTAGTATCAACCTTCAGGAATTAAAGGAAAGTTAATATGAGGAGATCCTTTCAAATAGATCCAGAAACAAAGATGCAGTTCTTACATTGACAGAGTGATCTTATGAAGAACCCAATCTTGGAGATTTTCACTTAAATTGATTTTCTTTATAGTAGTCTTTATGACTCTGTTGTTGTTAATTGTGAAGTCGCATCCGACCCATCGCGACCCCATGGACAACACTCCTCCAGGTCCTCCTGTCCTCCACCATCTTCTGGAGTCCATTTAAATTCACACCTACTGCTTCAGTGACTCCATCCAGCCATCTCATTCTCTGTCGTCCCTTTCTTCTATTGCCCTCAATCTTTCCCAGCATTAGGCCCTTCTCCAGTGAGTCCTTCCTTCTCATTAGGTGGCCAAAGTATTTGAGTTTCAACTTCAGTATCTGGCCTTCTAAAGAGCAGTCAGGGTTGATCTCTTCTAGGACTGACCGGTTTGAATGCCTTGCAGTCCAAGGGACTCGCAGGAGTCTTCTCCAGCACCATAGTTCAAAGGCCTCAATTCTTTGGCGCTCAGCCTTTCTTATGGTCCAACTTTCACAGCCATACATTGCAACTGGGAAAACCATGGCCTGGACTATACGCACTTTTGTTGGCAGGGTGATGTCTCTGCTTTTTAGTATGCTGTCTAGATTTGCTATAGCTTTCCTCCCCAGGAGCAAGCGTCTTTTAATTTCTTGGCTGCAGTCCCCATCTGAGGTGATCTTTGAGCCCAGAAAAATAAAATCTGTCACTACCTCCATTTCTTCCCCATCTATTTGCCAGGAATTGAGAGGGCCGGATGCCATGATTTTGGTTTTCTTAATGTTGAGTTTCAAGCCAACTTTTGCGCTCTCTTTAGTTCCTCTTCACTTTCTGCCATTAGAGTGGTGTCATCTGCATATCTTGGTATCATCTGCATATGACTCTACAATCTATATAAAGATCAATCTACAGCAGCCATGTCAAACTTATGATGTCATGTGACAGTGCGCGACATATCGCAACTTTTTCCCCATTGCCAGCAATGGGGTGGGCATGGTTTCAGTATGATGCATCCGGCCCATGGGCCGGCAGTTTTCACATGCCTGATCTACAGCATTTACTAGAGCAATACTTTAATCTTCATTTTCACAGTATTTTGGTGTCCGGTTGGGATATTTTGCCTAAGTAGCTCCTCCTCTCTGCAAATATAGATTATTCTACTTACACTGAACAGGGCTATTAATGGGTTGTTGAAATCTGGACAACTGCTAGAGGATAGCTAAGAATTAGTGTTTTTTCTGAATTTCTCTGCTGCCATCTATTGGACAATTGAAAGTTTGCAACACCGTTCAGTAGAGATTGATTAAAAGAATACTCTTGACTTGTTCAAACCAAAACCCTGAAACAACTCACAGTATTTCCAAGATTTGACAATAGCACTGAGGGAGGTGAAATGATAATTTTATTTCATCTCCCTCAATATTTGGCTTTCTAAGAAGCTGCCAGGAGCACTCTAAATTTAAATCCAGAAGTATTTTGGCTCAACTTTAAACCTGACAATATTATAAGCAACCTGATCTTTTAATAAGGAAGGATCAAATGCATATTTTACAACCACAGAGGGAGGAGCCAGAATATAAAATGTGCTACTTTCCGAGCACATTGTATTTAATGATAACTTTCAGACAACTGGTTCAGGGAGAACAGCGACTATAATTATGGCTTTCTATGTGCTGAGATAATCATATTGACACAGTTTCTTGTTCAAACCTTTAGTGTTATTTCCAGATTTTGGATGATAAAAAGCATCGGCTATGTTTACAGTACTCTGGGCATCATGCCCATATTTTAGATGCTACCTATAAGAAAATACATACCAATTAAAACCATCTCTGCATAGGTTGACAAAAGAAATGTGGGTGTGAGATTTGTCTCAGCTTCAGTATCTAAGCAGGAAAAGCAATTAGCAACTCAGATCTAAAGAATTAGACAAAGCTCCTCATTTCAGTTCTTATCCAGCAGAAGAGAAGAGCAGCAGCCCAAATTATGTTACTCTCCTGTCTGAGTGGCTAGCACAGGGGTCTTCAAACTTGGCCCTTTTATGACTTGTGGACTTCAACTCCCAGAATTCCTCAGCCAGCATGCCTGGCTGAGGACTCCTGGGAGTTGAAGTCCACAAGTCATAAAAGGGCCAAGTTTGAAGACCCCTGGGTTAGGACATTCCCTCCACTCTGGGCTATCGTGCAAAAGTCAGCTTCCACTCCAGGCAGTTCTCAAGAGTAAGAGAAAATCTGAGGCTATATCCTACCAGTCAGTTCAGAAGAGGTAATCCAACCATCTCCACTTACTGGGTAGTAATACACCACAAATTCAATAAAGCTGTAGTTACAATGCAAATCAGTATGACATGCTAATTTTACAGTAGATGGCAATCCTAAACAAAAATAAATAAATCTTAGTGTAGGAATATTTCATGACTTTGATGAGGTATGGTCTGGTGTGGTGGTCTGGGAAGAGTTAAAATTTGTTGGTCTGAGAAAGTAGACAGGATCTTCAGAGCTATAAACTTGACCTCCTGGTTGGTTAAGGCTGCCCAGGAGTAATGTATAAATATGTCCAAGGAGAGGTGAGCAAGAGGGTAGTTGCATGCAAGTTTGCTGTCTCCTCAAGAAGTCATCACTGAATTTAATAGCACAAGGACAATTTCTGATGTGTTTCCAAATTTTCCTTTTTGGAGGAGGCTTCTGAGGAGGTGGTTGGGCTGCAGCTTCAGAGGGCACTACAGGAAATGGATTATGTGGATCTTTTCCAAATGGGTTTCAGGCCTTGACAAAGTACAATGATGGCATTGATCATGCTCATCTAAGGCAGGACTGGGATGGGTGTGGGGCATCTATCTTGGGCCGTCCCTGATCTCTCATGGCCTTTGGTACCATTGATTACCTTGTTGTTGACAGGCTCAGGAGCTTGGGAGTTGAGGCAAGTGTTGGGGTGGTTCTCTTCCCACGTCTAGAGTCTTTTCCAATAACCTCCAATAAGGAGTTCTAGCTAAGGCTAAAAATGAAAAACAAGATGAGATTTGGTGGTTCCTTTGTAGCCGTATTTGTCAAAGATTCAAAAACACTCCTTATCTTGTTCCTCTCCACCCACATTCTTTGGGTATTGCTTTTGCATTTGTAAGGGTTAGGCTAGGAACTGTAACAGACTTCCGGAGATTAGTAAATCTAAACAATTATCTGCAAAAATCTGGTTTTCCTCCCACTAAAATCACTGACATCAATGAAAAGAAGTCCAGGTTCAGGAAGTTGCCAGCTTGCATTAGATAAACTAGGTATCAAAGGAAAGGCTGCACAAATCGCAAGTTGCATGTGTCTTGAATAGAGGAAGTGAACTAACAATGCAACGCAACATGAACAAATGAAGTTTCAAAACATATCTCCTAATTTTTCAGGTCCAACGCTTGGTCCAACACTCATTAGATAGCACTTTATTTCTAATGAGCGTCCTGTGATTTAGACTATATGATATATAATGAGAAAGGAAGGCCAGACCCCAATGGAAACTCCCACTGTTAATAAACAGGTTTTCCTTTGAGAGGATACACTGGTTGGTAGAATCTCATATGGGTAGGGCTACTATTAATGAATATCCTTTCAACACATTATTTTTTTTCTCTACATTCTTGGGTAGCCAACCACACCTACACCCACATCTCTCCTAGTTGTGAAAACAGGGCTGGTTGAGGAGTATGAATCCAAACAGCTTGCTCAGCAGTGCTTAAAGTTAAGACTACCCTTCTGCCTAGGACATGAAATGTGTCTCTGGGGAAAGGAAAATTATGTGTGTACTCCAACATAAGGATCTTCTGAACTCAACTCTCTTCCCCGCCCCCAACACTCCTTGCCAAATACCTTTCACACTTGAAAGGAAGGAAGGTGGAGAACAGATTGCAAAGGAAAACATTTCTTTGCATCATTCAGACCAAGTTTCAAACTGGGTCTCCAATTCCAAGGAATTGTGTGGTTAAGCACATGAAGAAAAAAAAGGGTACAAATACGCTTTATGAGATAGACATTACAAGTCTCTGAAGTAATAGAAAAGATTTCACATGCTGCCCTGAAATACAGTGAGTTTCATTTACTCCACTCTTAATTCACTGAAGAATTCAAAGAAAAGATATAACTGGTTTAAATAGAATACAAAAGTCTTGCAAACCTCTACTAGTATTAATAACAGAATTGATAGAGCTTAGTTAAGGGAACGAATCATTTGTAATCATGATTACAACAGTAATGATTACACACTACACAAATATACTATAAGTACTGTAGTCTGATCTAAATTTTTGTTGTAGTCCCCTTGTTAAAACTGAATCATACTCACCTATGACTATATACCAAAAATATTGCAGTGCAAAGATTTTTTTTTACGTTTTTGCTGCCTTGTACATGTACGTTAGTCTTCGCTTGCTCCATAGATATATATATGTAGAATTTTATCCAAAAATTCATGTTGTCCTGGAATATGTAATCTCCTAACATTGTTTTTTAAAGCTTTTTTAAATGAGAACTACAAACTTACAATTTAGGATATCAATACATTCTTAGCTTCCAGCCACAGTAATTATCCTACTTTGCAATTCAACTTTGACATTGAATATTTTGGTCTTCTAAGACGTCTGCAGGAATATTATCTGGAATCATAACTTTCACAGGCTTCACTTAGTTATCTGAATTATTAACTCTGCTTGAGACGCAATTAAGAAGCAAACAATTCAGAGCCGGTTTATGTGGTGGTAAAGTGCTGGCCCAGAAACCAGGAAGTGATGAGTTTTAACCCATCCCCTCTCCCCCCCTTAGCTGGAGACCTTGGGCCAGTCACTCTCAGTCCAACCTATCTTACAGGATTGTTGTAGTGAGAAAATAAGAGACAGGAGTATTAAGTATGTTTGCTATCTTGAAATAAAGTAAATAGGTAGGTAGGTAGATATATAGGTGAGGGAAGAGAGAGAGATAAGGTGGGATAATAATAAAATACAAGAATGGGGAGCCAACAAAAATCCCACCAAACTGCTAGCTCTGGACCATTCTTAGCAAATAACATACATATCAACACATATTGATTGTCACATTTTCTTTGCTAAAATTGAGGACATAAATCTCACCTGAAGGGAAATAAATGAAAAGGTTTATTTACTAAAAACATAAACAAATTCCATTTTCCTTGAAAACTGCTTTAGTCTGAAAATGTGACAAATCAATAAACTAGGTATGGTTTAAAAGTTACAGAAAGAAAATAAATGCATTGAAACCTTTCACTAAATTAATTTTAAGCAAAATGATGAGATATAGAACAATATGCCAGATCGTACGTTTTGATTTTTGTGAAACTGTCCTTGTTATATCTGGCATTAAATTAATCCATTTCAACTATTATTTAATATTAGGAAATTATGTATTTTCAGAAACTGAAAATGTGAAAAGCAAAGCAGTGGGAAATTTCTGCAGAAAAAGTCTCTTCAAGAGTAGATGCAGTTCCAGAAATGTATAAAATTGCACAAGAATCTTTAAGCCCAATGCTGTTGGACTTATTTAATGAGGTTTTAACCCAAGCTAAAATACCAGCTTCATGGGAAGAAGCCTTCCTCACGTTGATTCCTAAAGAAAACACAGACCTGACACAAATTAAGAACTATAGACCCATTTCTCTTTTGAATTCGGATTACAAGATTTTCATGGCAATAATGGCACAAAGATTGGAAAGGTTCTTAGTGGATTTTATACATATTGATCAAAACGGCTTTCTATCTAAAAGATATATAAGAAACAATATTAGGACTGTTTTGGACATATTGGAATATTATGAAGTACATAATGAAAAGCAAATGTGTTTAATTTTTCTTGATGCCCAAAAAGCATTCAACAATGTAAAATGGGATTTTATGTTTAACCAATTATTGTATATGGACTTTGGGGAAAATTTTTTAAATATGTTTAAATCAGTTTACTCTAAGCAGGTGGCCAAAGTAATAATCAATGGAGAATTGACTGAGAGTTTCCAAATGCAAAAAGGCACAAGGCAAGGTTGCCCACTATCACCATTGTTATTTATATTATCTCTTGAGGTATTAACTAGAGCAATCCAGCAAGATGAACAGATCCAAGGTTTAGAAATCAAGAAAGAGACATTTAAAATACAAGCCTTTGCAGATGATTTAGTTTTTATAATTGAAGAACCACTACAATCAGGGACTAGACTGATGGAAACATTGAATAGATATGGGGAAATAGCAGGTTTAAAAATAAATAAAGAAAAAACTAAAATGCTCGTTAAAAATATGACTAAAATACAGAAAAATGAATTGGTTGACAGAATTGGTGTTCAAATCACAAATAAAATTAGATATTTAGGGATACAACTGACTGCCAAATGCGCTACGCTTAAAAGGGATAACTACGATAAGTTAATAGACCAGATTCAAAAAGACTTTGATATTTGGACTAACCTACAGCTCTCTTTTATGGGCAGAATTGCGGTGATTAAAATGAATGTGTTGCCAAAAATCTTATTTTTGTTCCAATGTATACCTATAAAATTAGACAAGAATTTTTTTCAAAATTTGAATAAAATGATGTGTAAATTCATCTGGCAAGGAAAAAGAGCAAGGATTAAATTAAAATTACTGCAGGATTCAAAGGAAAGGGAGGGATTTGGTCTTCCAGACTTGGAGAAATATTACCAGGCCGCAGCATTAGTATGGGTAAGAGATTGGATATTACTAAAAAAACAGGAGACTATTGTGTCTGGAGGGCCATGACCTACAAATAGGATGGCATACCATATTATGGGATCATAAATATAAAGTACATAAATATTTTTGAAGTCACTATATTAGGCAAGCTCTTACTGATGTATGGACAAAAATTTGGCAACCAAATTATACCCAAGTACCTAGTTGGATCTCACCGTTAGAAATATATGTACACCCAAAATTTACTCAATTAGACAAGACCATAACATATAAAAATATCTTAGATGAAAGAGAGGAATTGAAATCCAGAAAAACCATCCATGATGAAGGGATAGAATTAGAATGGTGGGCATATCTGCAACTGCAGGCGAGATATCGGAAAGACAAAAAAGAGTTAGGTATTAAATTAGAACCAATAGAACTGGATAAAATAATTTTGGGGTAGGAGGATAAAATGATTAAAAAATTATACTACTATTTGCTAGATCAGGCAATGTACGAGGAACAAGTAAAAGTGACTATGTTGAATTGGAGTAAGGACTTTGGTCTTAATTTTGATCTGCATATATGGCAAGAACTATGGGCAAGAAACAAGAAGCTTACTTTGGCCACCTCTTACAAAGAGAACCTTTACAAAATGTTTTATAGATGGCATCTCCCACCCACAAGATTGTCTAAAATGTATACCAATGTTTCCCCTAAATGTTGGAAATGTAATTTGAAAAGTGGAACTTACTATCATATGTGGTGGAAATGCACGCGAGCTTGTGATTTTTGGAACAGGATTAAAATATGGTTGGAAGAAATATTAGAGCAAGCGGTAGAACTAAAACCAGAACTCTTTCTATTAGGTTTAACTACGCAAAAACATGACAAAGGCGTACTTTATTTAATGCTACACATTTTAACGGCTTCCAGGCTGGTTTTTGCTCAAAATTGGAGGAACAAGGGAACCCCAACGGAAGAAGAGATCCTGCATAAAATTCTAATATGTGCTGAGATGGACAGGCTTACAATGATTATGAAAGACAAAACGGAACACGAATACTTCGAAATCTGGGGCAAATTTTACCGCTGGTATGAATTAAGAACTGCTCGGACTTCAAGCTAATGGTAGAATTATAAGATATACATAACTGTACATATAATTGTATATTTAATTGTATTGTATAAAAGATGAGGCTTATATAGAGGTTAAGAACGATGTATTAAATTTTTGTACTATGATAGGAACTGATAGGAAAATTCACTCTGGAATGTCATGTTTGTCCATTGTTGTTTTAATTGTATTATGAATAAAAAA